CAGAGGAGCTCTGGGAAAGGCATGGATGTGGCTCAGTGGCTACCATGGAGTTCTGCTGGATAAAGGGGGAAGGGGTAGCACAGGTGGCCCTCCTTTGAAATTCTTTGAATCTGTCTTCTGCGAAGTTCCATCCTCCACATGAACAAAACTCCTCCTCTCAGAACAGAGTGCCCTTACTGGAAAGAGTGGTTGCTACCACAGCCTGTGAAACCTCATTGCTCAGATTCATTCAGAACAGAAAAATCTATCAACAAGCCCTAAACAAGGGGCTTTAAACCCAAGGTCAGCAGCCTCCAGCCACCAGGAAATCCAGAGAACTCTGGAAGTTGTGTGACCTGCAGGAAACTGCACACTTTCCTGGGCATAGATCACAGCTTTCATCAGATTCCCCAATGCATTTGTGACCTTACAGAAGCTTTAGTACCACTGTCCAGGTTATTAGAATGAATACTGCCCAGGCTCAACAGAATTCTTGCAGGCCTCTGACTACCGAGTTCCCAATCATCTTGAGACCATTTTGTTTAAAAATCCTACTTATAACCATTCGTATTTGACAGATGAGCAAACCAACATCTAAGGAAATGAAATTGATAACCCACCTAAGTAAAAGTTATAGGTTTGTGGGCCAGAACCAAACATATGAAGGTTACTTAGTACTGATGGCCTCTGTGTCCTAAATGCCACATCATAAATAAAGACCGAGGCTCGAGCCGGGTGTCAGGCACTCTACATACATGGCTGACTTAGACACCATAACTTCTCTGCAAGACCTTATCTCATATTTTGATTTGAGGAAACCAGGACTCTGAAAAGTTCGATGGGATGCCAAAGATCCCAGCACTGAGAAGTGTCAGCAATGAGATCCGACTCCAGGGCTGTCTTGACCCCAATTTCTGCACCAGGAGACGCTCTGAAACTTGGATTCCAGGAGGAGGAGGACTCATCTTCAAGTCAGGGACAGTTTCTTAGACAACTTTGTATTCCCCACGGCGCTTTGCATGGCAAGGCAATCCATAAATATTTGTGGAGTGAAGAAACCTGGGCTCAGACCCCAGTCCTGCCCGGGACTTGCTGACTGGAGGTGCAGGTGGCTCCTCTGCTGGGCCACTTCAGGGAACATTTGAAATCAATTACAGGTGAGCAGGAACCTATTAAAAGGGTTTCTTCTGTGTATGTTGGGGTTGAAGGAGAGGAAAGGAAGTTGAGGGGGAGGAAAAGGAACTGGATGATTTCAGGGGTGGGTGCTGGAGCTTAAAGTTTTCACACCAGGACGAGGCAGAATTTGGCATATGTTCACTGCTGAGTTCCAATGCCCCATCCAAATGGGCTCCTGACCCTGACCTCAGGATACTCTTGGGTGGCAAGAACACCTAACCTGCCAGACCCTCCACCAAAGCAGCTGCCCCCAGCTCTTGCCTAGACCTTGCTGCCCTGCTTCCGAGCTATAGGAGATGGGCAACTTCACAAGGTCAATTTGCTGGGATCCCAGCACCATTATTCCCCTCTCAGAGGCAGAGAGAATCTCAGCACATAGTCAGTGGGGCCTACGTTGTCCTCGGCCCTAAATAACAGTATTGTGCAACCCATTCTGGACTCCAACTTCCTATTTTGGAAGAATGTGGGAGTTGGAGAGAGGGGAGGTAGGTAACCCTAGTTGATATTTTTTCTTTTTCTTTTTTCCTTCTAATTTTCATTCTGGAATGTAAAGCTCATTTTAAGTATATTGACATAAAATATTATATTAGTTTCAGGTGTACAACATAATAATTTGACATTTATATACTTTACTCATTGCTATAAGTGCAAAGTTAGTCACAACCCCCCACATGTCACTTTAGCCCCTTCTCATAGGCCCTGCAAAAAAAGACTTGGGTAAAGCTGACCCTAAGGGATGCCTACCAGCAACACTCTGGAAGGGGAAGATTAAATACAGTCCAAAGGCCAGGGCAGGGACAGCCCTTCAGGAAGCCAGACAGGCTCCCCACTATGTGGCTTCCAGAGGCTGGCCTACTTTCCTGAGCATGAAGCAACACTGCCACCTAGTGCCCGTGTGGGAAGTATTCCCCAAGGACCCATACCTCAGGGGTCCCTCTACAATGGCTGCTGTGGCTGAATTGCTTGAGGTCTTTGAAGAAGAGAAAATGCCCCAAGGTGGATAGGTAGAGAACCAGGAAACTAGGTCTAAGTTATGTATATAGAATTTAAGGTTTGAGAGCTGTTGGAAAAGTGTGGGAGCCAAGTCTTGCAGCACTTGGGCTATCAGTGGAATAGCAGAAAATCATTGGTTGAATGGTATTTTGCTCCCAGGAACCCGATTCAATAGTAGCCATTCTCCGTAAGTGGAGGCCAATCATTCCAGGAACAAGCAGTGGCCCGCTAGCGAGCCATTGCTAGGGTAAGAGAGGGAAGATGGGCTGCTCTGTTGATGGGAGGGGATGAGTGCAAATCGGAGAGCTCTATTCATTAGAGCAGTGGTTCTCAACCTTCTGGCCCTTTAAATACAGTTCCTCATGTTGTGACCCAACCATAAAATTATTTTTGTTGCTACTTCATAACTGTAATGTTGCTACTGTTATGAATCATAATGTAAACATCTGATATGCAGGATGGTCTTAGGCGACCCCTGAGAAAGGGTTGTTCGACTGCCAAAGGGGGCGCGACCCATAGGTTGAGAATCACTGCATTAGAGGGACAACCTTTGACCTCTGCATGGTTCACAACCAGGGGCCCCCAGTGAAGCCTAAGAAACTAAGCACAATGAGGAGGCAAGGACCTACACCCTCAGGAGCCTGGTTACTAGAATCCTGAAGCATGAAGGCCTTCCCAGCCCTTACCATTCCCAGACTTTTACCCAAGTTTTCTTTAATTTTTTCTGATGTGCACAAGCCTGAAGGAAGACATAGGTTGGAAGTTGAAGAGGAGATAGACTTGGGTATTCCCTCTTTTTGACCTTCCTGGTGTGGACTTCCGGGGAAATACCAGTACACCTCAGGGGCCACTATGATTTGAAGAGAAAGAAACCCCAGAAGCTAGACTGTCTGCAAAAGATTTCCTGCCTAATTTTACATGCTTAGGAAGGTTAAAAAAGTTCAGATGGCACAGTGGAGAAGGATCTGAGTGTGTGTGCTGTGGCAAGGTGGGGGGCCACTGGTGATGATGGACAGGTGAGAAAAGGAAGGAGATGGACAGGGGGTGGCTGGGGGAGGGGTGACAAGGAATGCTATAATCGGAATCAAATCAGGATAATACTCTCCTCTGTGCAGATCATGAGAAAGAAGGACACAGAAGGGTCAGGACAGGGGTCAGGTACCCACCATCAAAAGTCTGTCTCCCCAGGTTTGGGTTTTAACAATCCAAAGCAATTATTTCTAAGAGCTTCCCTCCTATATTCCTGCTGGATCCTTCTCTAATCCCTCACAGCCAGGGAACTGATCCCAGGTTCCCATGTTGCTACCGCGAGAGGAGGGATAAGCAGAGTTACGGGTCTCAGTGTAGAAGACAAGCACACAGCTTCCCTGGCAGATGGGTACCAGGAAACCAGATCAGGCAGCACGAAGATGTCATCTGGGAAAAACGGTGGCACTGCCAACTCTGGTCAGATAATCATCTCGTTATTTCTTCCATTTGGCCCCAGAATAAGGATTTCCTTAGCCCCTCTCTCTACCCCCACCTATTTACAGCCCAGCACCTTCTCTCTCCCCTCCCCTCACGCCCTCTCCTACCCCAAAATAAAATAAAGCAAAACCACACAACTCTAGAGTCTGGGAATCCCAGCTTCCAACAGAGAAATCATAGCCAAAGAGGGGGAGACAGTGAGTCCGGCAGGGATGTTCCAGCAACACCCCATTGAAAGAGGCTCCCTCCTTCCAGATTTCTTCCTCTAGTCTGAAACTTATTTGCAGGCATCCAGCAACCTGAGAAGTCTTTAATCTGGACAGCTGTCAAGCACTGGGGCTGAGAAGCTCCATTCCCAGCCTGCCTCTGGCATGCTTCACATGGCTTTGGTTTCCCTGTCCATGTAATAGGAGTGGAAATATCCACGGGTGTTGTGAATGATCCAAATTAATAAGATGTAAATGGCTCTACATGTGCCTAGCCTTGTGTGAGGTTCTGTTCCGGACGATGCAAAGGGATGATGCCAAATGATAGAGTAGCAGATCTCATCCCCCCATCCCTTGCTTGAAACTCGTCCCCCTACCAATAAGGCACGGTAAATAGCTATTCCTAACCCCAATATTTCCCTTGTTCTTCTGAGTGACTTTCCGTGAAAAAAAAAAAAAAGACCTGGGTATAATGGAAAATAAACATGGGTAATGTTCCCAATGTTGCTTCTAACGAAAACTATAGAATTATACAAGGTGCATTTTTTTAGGTACCTCTCACAATAACCAGGGCTAGAAAACAGGGTCCTGGCTTGTGCCCACCTTTTCCAGTGGACCCTCAGGTCCCTAGGCTCACACATGACTATTAGGGGACCCCAGGACCCAGCCAGGTACTAGCTACCTGCAAAGTTGCAGGACTTCTCAAAGAAAAGGAAGACCCAGTCCAGACCCAGTGTCTGTGCTCTGGCCACCTTGCTCCCTGGCCGTGACTCACTGCCCAGGCCCCTGAATCCTCATGGGGCTTTAAAGTTGCCTGGGTATCTCACACTGGACTATGGGAGATGGAGGAGGACACCTTGTCCCCAGGGACAAAGAACCAGAGGTCGTCCCCTTTAAGAAGTAGGAGAGGGGGCCAGAGGTCTCCTAAGTGCCAGCACCATGTATAGACCCACAGATCAATACCAGGGACAGATGCTCTTGTGGTTAGAGCCATTACTACAGAGAAGGTCTGGAGTCCTGCTGTGCTGGGGAAGAAAGGCTCTACCCTCCTCTTCCTGGCTGGCCCTTCCTGGCTTTCCTGCTCTGTCCCCTTCCCCTCTGCACCCTTAGGTCTGACCCCATCCAACATGAGGCCAGCCGCACCCCAAGGAGCCCAGGGAGCCCAGGAGGGACCGTTACCTGCGATGATGGTGGGGCTGCTCTGCCCTCCCTCCGGCTTCACCCAGGCTTCCACTGTGAACGCCTCCCGGGGAACCTCAGCCAGGACTTCTGGGCGCAGCAGCAGCCTCTCCCGCCTCCCTGAGAAGTACAAGATGGGCAGTCCTCCTCCGTGGGGGTTCGAGGTCTCTGCTTCCCAGTAGGGATTCCCTCTGCCATTCTGAACGCTGTCCTCTGAAGAACTGGTTCTGACCCCGTGCATAAGGGGACGCTTAGGCCAAGGTCGGAAATGCTGGGGAGTGACATCCAGGTCTCCCCGCATACCCTCTGCCAGCCCCTTCACCACCTGGCGGCGGCGCCTGGGCTTGGCCAGACCCTTCCTTCGAGTCTCTGGTCTGGGCTCCTTCTGGCGTGCGAAGGTGGTGATGATGGTGGCAGCCGTGGCTGAACCTTCCCAAGTCCCAGCCTCACCTAGAGACGCCTTGGATCCTCGATCGTCAAGATAAGTGTCATCATCTCCCAGCAGCTCCCACTGTCCAATAGGACCATCCCCTACCCACAGGGCTGCCAGCTGCTCAGCCCCAGTCCTCACTGCTGCACGTGCAGTCCGGTCTGGGGGAACACTGCTCACAGCCATTCCCTCAGCAGCTGGCTTGCTGCGTCCTGCACGGTGGGTGCCCTGGTCCCCCATAGGGTAGGGCCTCAAGGAGCTGCCAGGCCTGCTGGGGTAGACCCCGAAGAGGTGATGCTGGGGAGAAACTCTGGGTCTTCGAATCCTGGTCCCCAGCCAACAGCGTTCTCCCTCTGACAGCATCTCATTGAGGTGTCCCCTCTGAGCCAGGGATCTCTTGTGTGTCCAGCCCGGCTCAGAGCTAGCAGTGCTGAGTGCCCACCCAGCCAGAACCAGCAGGCTTACTCTCAGGATCTGTAAGCACATCATACTTCGCCCAGCTCTTTACACAGATCCAGAAGTCAATCTCTGGGTACCACAATCCACAGCAGTGGATTCACAGTCACCGGGGAAACTGTTTTGTTCACAAACCAAACTTTTTCAAGCAGCCCCAAAAGAGTGCCTCTCCTGGCTACCTGCTCCGGGTGCCCTGCCAGTGTGGCCTCCACGCCTCGCCTCACCTCTCTCCCTCACCTCTCTCCCTGCTCTAGTTCAGCCTTGCAGGATGAAGTTCATTTCTCTGGGTTCCTTTGAATTTCCTCCAGAGAGCTCAGGTTTCTTTTTTTCCCCCTTTTCAATAGCCCCTCCCCTCGCTGATTCTAGAGGAGGGACACGTGGACAGGAGCCAAAGCCTCTCAAATACACACTCCCTCACAAACACAGGGCCCTCGCTACCTGGTCATTAAAAAGACCCTTCTCTCCTTTTCATCTTACTCCTTCTCAGGAGTTACCTTCTCTGTAGTCCTCACCCTAAAATACCTTTGTCTCCAAACCAATGACTAGAAGAACTTGTTTGCAGAGACACAGAATATGATGCTTATTATCTAAAAGGGCAAAAAGAAGCTGGGTGCACAAAGATCCAAGCTGGTACTTAACTTGCACTCTCCAGATGTGTCCTCAGCCAGAGCCCAGCCAGCCTCCAGTCGGCCTTGCAGGTCAGAATGCTTCCCTCAGCTCCGGGTTTGGGGTGGTGGAGTGCTGAAGGTTTTCTTTTTTCTTTTCTTTTTTTTAATCTCCTTCCAACTTGTTAGTATGTTGCAAGTCTCTGTAAAGTTCTCCTTTGGGGTGCCAGTCTGATGTCCTAATAACCTTATGAGTCTGTGAGCCCTGGACTTGACCTCCTGGGAGTCTAGCGAGTCCCTGGGAAAATGGACAAGAGAATAAGGAGAAGGGCATAGACTTCAGGGGACCTGTTCACTCCGGTCCCTCCTGCTCCCCCGTCTCCCTTCCTCTCTGCCTGTAATTATCTTCGTGGTTGTTTCATTTAAAGACAATGATGATGTCAAAGCTAATAAGTTCGGTGTATTACTCCACCCACTCCCTGTCCCCTCCTTCCTCCTGAAAACCTCCCCACCTTACCGAGGCACAAGGGACAGAAACTACTCTTGGTTTCCCCAAGAAACATCTCGGGCTTTCTCTCTCTGCAGCCGCAGCCTACACAATCAATAGCCAACAATCAATACGGTGCTGGAGCACTCCCCTCTGTACACACACACACACACACACACACACACACACACACGTGTGTTGGGAGCAGACCTGCCTTGTAGGGGCCACTTGCATCTTTCTTTTGTTTTGCACAAACCTCCTGAATCTTTTTCTTATTTCAATCACTCAGGATTTAAAACAAAATAACCTAAATTCACTTGAGCTTGCACCTTAGGAGAAAGGAGGACATCAATTCTCCTGCTGTAAGAAGCAGTAAGTAGAAATGCCATGGGGGTGTACTACGCAGATCTTGTTTTTCTCTCTGAAGTTTCTCACTCTGCAGTCACTAAAAGTCACCATATGCTGAGTGAGCAAATAAACAAATGAGATGCTCAAAATAAGTAATTTGCAAAAATGAACAAGTAAACCCAAGCAAGTGTGTTTTTTTTTTCAATTGATTTGAGATGAATGGATAGAATAGGGAAATAAATAGTGTGATTTTAACCTCTCTAATAATGTTTGCCTAGATGCAGGCTAATCTCAAGGAGTACCACCCCCCAAACACACGTGAGTGTTCAACACACACACACACACACACACACACACACACACACACAAGCATACACACTCCAGGTAAGGGGGTGTGACCTCAGATGGACACAATGTAAGAGAGAAATATATTGGGTTCTTCACTGAATAATAAGAGAAATCACTTACACATCTAAAATCACTGTTTGTGTTGCCCCATATAGAAAACCCACAGCTCACATCGTTTGGAGTAAGATCATGCTACCTCTTCTGCCTTGGGTCTCCTCATAGTCTTCTAAACTCCTCTACCCATGCTAACCACTGACTTCTTTGCTTTAAGAAAACTGTACCCCAAATACCCCATCAGGGGCATGTCCTGCTTCCCTAGGCTGGGTCCACTGGAGCCTCAAAGCAAGTCCCCCAAGAAGATATCAATCCAGGCACGTGGACATTACTAAACAAATCACTCAATCCTGGACTGTCATTCCTCTCATCATTTCCACATCTCCCTTCACTCTCCTGACTCAGTCCTTAATTTCTTTATATCTTTCCTGAAGCAGCTCAATAAAGATTGGGGGTTTGAAAGGGGGTAGAGGGGAGACGTAGAAAGAGACATAAAAGTAGATGGAGGGAGGGAGGGACGGAGGGAGAGAGAGAGAGAGAGAGAGAGAGAGAGAGAAGAAGAAGAAGAAGAAGAAGAAGAAGAAGAAGAAGAAGAAGAAGAAGAAGAAGAAACCATGAAAGAAAGGAAAGTGAGGAACCTGAGTTTAAATGAAGAGAAGATACTCTAGTAATAAAAAGAGAAGTAAACTTCCCCTCCCTCATGCCACCCCCACAACCCTCAGAAAAAGGATTCCTACCATTCATTTCAGGAAGGAGGGATAACACAGCAAGGAAGAAGAGTCCCACGTGCTTTGCTCCCCTGTCACTGTGGGAATGATCTGCATCCCCTATAGGTCTCCTGGCTCTCAGCTGCTAAGGATCCATTCATAAGCTTTCAAGAAGCTACACAAAACTCAAGCTTCCAGTTTAGTTTTTCTCTCTCTCCCCTTCATTCCTTTGCTCACCACTTTCCTTCAGCTCTTGGCAGTCCAAAGTTTAAAAAAAAAATGTTGAACCATTTCTGTGTTTTCCTCCTGTTGTAACTTCTGCTGTGACATCATAACCCTGCCCACCAACACCCCACCTCTCGCCCTCCTTTCCATCCCACCCCTCATCAGCCCCATAACCCCCAAGATGCCCCCCACGGAGAAGCAGGGCTCCTGTCAGTTCCAACGTGTGAAAACACAAAGCCACTAGAAGGTGCCCCTCTCTCTCTTCGGTCCCCCTCCTCTCTTCCCCCTCCCTGCCTTACCCACCGCTCAGCCACAGCTCTCTGAAGGGCTTTTAACATGATCCCATCTGTTTGACATGTGCGGAAAGGGTGGGCTGGACTCAGATAATCTGTCAAGTGGATCAGATCAAAAACACAGCAATTCCACCCCCCCCCCAATTCCAACACACACACACACACACACACACACACACACACACACACACACACCAGACCCCATTGAAAGTGTAAGAGGAGTCAGACTCCCACAGCACCCACCCTGAATGCCAGGGAGAAAGCCACCAAACATGCCAAAGGAAACGCACATTCAACACATATATAAATTCTGGGGCTTATTTGTTTATGACAAACACCCACACCCCAGTCCCCTACTCTTCTCCCCTAAGCCCTGACACTCCGCAAGTGCACAGATTTGAAAGCTGGTAGAATCTGTTTTGAAATCTCCAACGAGAGGGTTTTTCCCCCTTTTTTTCACTCCCAAGCACTATCTGTGGCGATCAGACTGGAGCAGGGTTGCCAGCAAATGCAGGAGGCCCCTTCTAGGGTACAGGCTTTCAAACCAGCTAAGCTAGAGGGAATGGATTTAAGGACACACAGCAGGAGCTGGCTGAATTTATTCTATTTTGACGGGGTAGTTGGGGGAGGAATATCATTTTTGAAATGCCCAAGGAATGAAGGGAGAGGATATGGATTTCTTAAACAGTTTTTGCAAGAGGAGCGGTGTCTTGTTCTGCAGGTAAATCTATAAGGCAAGAAATTGGAGCTTAGAGATAAACAAGGACCGAGAGGGAGAGGGAGGGAAGGGGAAGGAGGAAAAAAGAGAGGGGGTGAGGGAGAGGGGATGGGGATATGGAGAAATGGAAAGAGGAGAGAGGGGAGGAGGACAGAAAGGGGGCGAGGGGGAAAGGGGAGAAGGGAGGGAGGAAAGAGAAGGAGAAAGGGGGAAGGAGGGAGGGGGAGGGGAGGGGTGGAAGAAGAAAAGGGTGAATTGGAAGGGGGAGGGGAAGGGGACAAAGAAAGAAAAGTCTGAGAGGAGAAAGGACTAAAAAAGAAGAGCAGGGGAGAGAGGAGGGAAGAACGAGACAGAGAGGAAGAAAAACAGAGAAGGAGGTGGTGAGGCACCTAAAATATGGAGACCAGGAAGGCAGCTTAGACCCATGATGCTTAACCGTCCAGAAATCCCAGAGGCAGGTGAGGGGAGACACTTTCGGATGGGGCAGAGGTTGGGTTTTATAATAAAGAACATGCAACTGGAGGGGCTCACTGTTTCTGACTGAACACATTTTTTAAAAATCAGATTGCTAGGGCTCTGCATGGTCTCTTTAAGTAAACCCTCTTTCCTCTTCCTTTCCTGCCTCTGTCTCTTCCTCCAATAGCCACCTTCACACCTTCCTTCATTCACCTTTTTGTTCCCAGCGGTATTCACAGTAAAATTTAGGCATCCACCCACCCACACCCCCCCCAAAAAAAAAAACAACACACCATAATAGTCCCTCTCTTTGCTTTGCCATGGAGGGTCCTGGGTCTTATCTGAAGATTGAGCTGTTTGTGATAATCTGCACTTCATTTCAACCCAATTTATAATATATTTCCTTTAAGATAGGACATCAGAGCTGTTTTGCTTGCATCTGCTGCCATAGTGGGGCTGGTCAGTTTCCAATCGCACTGTCACCATTACTATTAAGAGTCTTTGAACAAAGGAAGGAGCTAGTTCAGTTGGCGTCCACCTGCAGTACAGAGCTTTCGTGGCGGGGCGTGGGGGGGTGGGGGGAGACCCCTGAATATGGTCATGGATCCTCTCTGACTTTCTGATTCTAAAAACCTGATCCCTTGAGGGAAAAGCTCAGCTGGGAGCCGGCCAGGGAGCGTAGTAATAAAAGCCTCCCAGAACACAACCAAATGCAGTATCTATATATAGGAGCAAAATCCGTTTTAGCTACTTGCAGTCTAAAATGACACCCGGAAGCAAACATTTCAGCAATATGTTTATTGGGATTGTACTCAACTAGTGCTGGAAAGAGTGAGCTTCTCTGAAGGCTTTCGCTCCACGGGCTACTGCTTTCTACCCCCACCCCACCACCCTCTCCCCAGTCTCCAGTGTCCTGAGCTGGGACTC